TTTTGGCTCGTTGGGGAAGGAGAAGTTGTTTAAAATGGGCTCTTGCACACAGAATCCTTCAGATTAAAAGGAGCAAAAGCATGTACAGGAATTCTTCCCTTCTTTAGGTTGAAAAAAAGCGCACAAAAATGGAAAATCAAACCCTCATGTACACTCACAGAAAAAGAAAAAAAACCCAACTTATAAGTTTGCTGCAGGCTACATCTTTGTAGTGACTTAATGGCACTACAATCTACCTAGTGTAGTATTAGCCTTAAGAAACTCTTGACTATTTGCATGCATATTAGAATCCAATGAGAGCTTAATAAGTGCATATATATGACAGAGGAAACATCTCATTGCATAGTTAAAGCTACAAAAAAACATTGAGGGAGGCAAAGTCTCAAGTTAATTACCATTACAATGCAATCAAGTACAGCAGTCATAGCTGAAAACCTTTTCTATTAAGACCGTTAGGCTCAACTTTGTCTCTGCAGGTCAGCTCCAGCACAGATAACCTTTCCAGCAGACAAATACATGCAAAATTGGCTCATCTAATTAAAAGCTCAGGGAGGTGTAGAAAAATACCAGCACATTGAGGCTGAGCAAATCACAGAGTACCCCCTCCAGCTGGATGAAGCTACAATATGAGGCTGCTGTTTGTTCTGGAAGGAAACTGAGTCACTTACCATTTCAATAGGTTAATCAATTGACAATTAAATGGAGAAATTGGTTAACTCCGCAACAATTAACATGACACTCTATTAAGTACACTTTCTAATTGCCACAGCTGCAAGTGAAAATTAACGTCTGTGTCAAAGGGGCTGCACAAGGTTGGGCTGTTTCTGGTGGTGGTAAGGTAACAAAAGTAGCTATAAAAGCCTGGTGTTCATTTTAGATCCTTAAGCACAGTGGGGAAAGGGCAGAGCTCTGAGTTCTATGGTTAGCTACGGAGGGTCTCGTATGTTTATTGTGTGTATATGAATACCCCATGGTGTACACTAATACACATCTGTGTACGTTGGTGTGTAAGGACATGCGTACCCCTACTGTAATGCATATCCCTTTAAAACAACATTTAAAACCAATTATAAGCTTCTTTGAATATTAAAGGTCTATAATACACATATATAGTGGACAAACAGTATGTGTGAGTAAGAGACACATAATTACCCTTCTCACTCAAAGGGTAAGAAGGAAATAAAAGAAACCAAATGGTCTGATGTCTCTAGAATTGGCGCTTTGATGGCAATTCAGAAAGGTTCTGGGTTTGAAGAAATATTTAGTTGTGGTGAATGCCTGGCCAGGAATCAGAGCAGACACCAGCTGAGCCCGGGCCCTCCTGAAGTTGGTGGAAACATCGTCTTTGCTTTTCTCAGGACAGAAATATTTAGTTTATAGCAAAAGGTGCTGAGCTTGTTGTCCTGGAGGTTCAGTTCCCAACTGCTCGGTGCAGCTCCCGGATGCTTTGCTAGAAGTACAAGTAGGGTATAAAATACCTTCATGGTTTCCAGGGACAGTGCTCCTGCCTTCAGAAGGGTTGTTGGTGCATACCTGCTTCTCCCACACAGTCCCACGGACGATGTGTTCAGAGTGGGTGTTCAGCAGGGCAGGGCTGTCTCTTGCGGTACGGCAGTGGCCGCTGTGCACCGTTCACAGGCTGTTTTGCAATACAAATAATCACTGGATTCTTCATCTGGTTACCTTTAATGTCTCTTCATTCACACTGGAAAACCAGTAGTCCTGAGGGCCACCAGATCTCTTCTTCTGGTCAAAACCCAGAGATCTGAGATTTGGAGGAAGTGCTGTTCTGGAGAAGGAGCAGAGAAATCAGGCAACGAGCCCCATCCTCATTCAGGTGACTTTTCTGGTGCTCACAGATCTGCAGGAATGACCTTGCATCTTTTTGGTTGTTTAGAGAAATCTGTTATCTTGTGGATCCAGTGTTATGATGGACCACCTGTATCACACACAGGTGGTGGAGGGCAGGAGTGCAGCACAACCTTACCTTTTACTGCTGCCTCCTATCTGCTTTCTGTGGGTAGGTAGGATGGCAGGCGTCACTCCAACAAAGCCAGCCAGCTTGTGCTGGCAATAACCCATTTCCTACAAAGAGCTATATGGGACCCCAATATGAGAAGCCCTATAGAGACTTGCAAGGACACAGTCAGGTTTTCCCAGAGTAAATTCTATTACTTCTGAGCTCTGCTGTGAAAAAAGCAAAGCTGTAAATCCTCAAAGCTAATAGTGCTATAATAGTAATTGTTTTTAGTCAAAAAAAACCCCCAAAACCAACACAGAAAGACAAAAGGTTCCATCAGTAGCTGTTGTTCAGAAACCAAACCATGAGAATTACAGATTTCTGCAATAAGATGAGTTAAGCTAAAAGCCATATTAAGAGGTATTGCACATCTGCTGCATTTTTTAATTCTGTAGTGTCTTTGCTGTATGGAAGTGTTTATTGTTAAACTTGTTGTTTGGCCAATTGATAAAATCAAGCCTTAATATTTTAACTCAGCCTAAATTCTCGACAGGCTGCAGAACTCCTTCCAGTTTGGCTTTACAGAAACCCGTATCTAATGACAGGATTGAATTTTGCTAGGACAGCCTATTAGCTGCTTCATTTCCTGGTGATGGAGAATTTAGATTTGTAACAGACAGAAAAGCCAAAGGGACGGCGTCTGGTTTTTCCTCCATGAACAAAGTCTGTTGCAGCAGCGGGGAGAACAACAAGGTCTGCCAGGCTTTGCCATCCAACCTCGGAGTACCTGCAGCCGCAGGAGAAGACTCTGTGGGAAAGAGCGTGGATGTCTGATGTGCACCGAGATGTGCCATTTGAAGGGTCTGCTCGGCTGGCAGCTAACCAGAGAGCCCAGCAGTGCTGGTGGCAGCAGTTCAGGCTAAATAAATAGTGAAGAGCAAGAGATCAGGGTGAAATCCCAGCTCGGAGGAGTCTGCTGTTGGTTTTGCCGGGCCAGCAGTCCTCTGCTGAAAAAAGCCCTCCTCTTTGGAGAAGTACGCTGAGCAGCCAGTGCAAATCTTGGATGCAACACCTGGAAACGAAGGAAAACCAGGAGTTTTCCTCTTTTTGCAATGGCAGAGTTTCTGCTGCCACCCCTGCCCGAGTCGAGGGGAGGTTTGTCCCCGAGTGCAGTTGGTGTCATTGAACATATACTTCTAATTGCAGCTGCTTTCTCTCTAATTATAGCTCCGTTTGGTTAGGATTTTCCTCCAATCCCTCATTTCCCCTAAAGCAAACACCAGAGCACCAGAGTTGTAACCCCAGTGGGGACATTTATTAATAACCCCCTTGGCAAATAGGGAAAAAAATCATTACGCTGTATTAGGCGCTAAAATATTTTCCCACTGCAAAGGCTAATTGATAAAACCAAGCAGACTTTATGGGGCAATTAATGTTAAGATGAAAATAAACACAAGAGCAAAACAAAAACAGGCTGACGGAGAGTATTTTTTTTTTCTGGCTTTGAGGTGTTTCTTGCAAATTGGAAATGAGATGCTGGTAAATAATCTGAGATTACCTGCCTTCGTTAGAAAAGGAGAGAATAAATGGGGAATTGGAAGAAAGGATTCTTGCATACCTCTTCCAGTGAGAGTGGTTACAACTCTTAAGGGATTTTGCACATCTGTCAAAAAAGCCTTCTATCTGGGATTTTTCCTATCAACTTTTCCTGTCCTGTGGCTGGAATTGGCTTTTTTCCCTCCCTAAAACAGCTCAAAATTCTGCACTTCACCATAAAAGTTGACCAACGTAATCTAAATGAGTTTGTAGCCCCAGAGAAAAATCCATAATGTTGTCACTTCAAATAATTGCAAAAGGCAAAAAGACAAAACCAACGATTTCTCATCTGAATTATTTCCTGCTTCATATTTAAAATTTGTCTGAAGGCTCTAGCAAGGAAAGATGTTCAGGGAAAACCAAAATCTAGCAAAACTCTGAACTTATTTTGGAGAGATTAATTTTTTGTTTGTTATTTGTAGAGTGTTGAACACCTTTAATCTTAACCTATGTTCAGGGCTCCCAGCTGGTAGTTGCTAGTACAGACCAAAGAGTGAATGACCAGTAAAGAAGAACACACTGGTCCAGACACACAGTCCATCCACTGACTCAGCGGGACGGGGAAAGAGATAATGAAGATACAGACAAACAAGACACTTCCTACCTGATATTTTATTCATTCATCAAACAATATCACCTATTCCCACCCATGCAGGCAGGGGGAATTTTGTGGGGATGATTAAAAGCAGGCCGAAGCGTAAAAGAAAAATAAATTCTTTGCTAACTAGTAGTTTTTAATTTTAATTAGATTTGTAAATTTTTACTTCTTTTAGGTTAGTAAGGCTCTCTAAGAGCTGAGAGTGCAATACCTAAATAGGTGATGTCTGCAAGAAATCTGCCACTTTATTCTCACTTGTCTGGGATTCCAAAAAAAGTCACAATGGTTTTTAAATAATAATAATAATAATAATAATAAAGGTTGGACGTGTCCTATCCCTGTTTGAGAACTGCACGTAGGCTGACAGAGAGAATTTGTTTCTTGTGTATCACAGCAGAGTTTTTTGGGTGCTTCTTGGGAAAATTCCTCCCGTGTCTGCTGGGGCAAGCCATGTCATCTTCGAACATCAGGAGGACTCCAGTGGGTATTGTGGGTCAGCTCTGTATGTTTTTGCACTGCCAGACAAGTCCTGAGGGACTTGTCCATGCTGCATCAAAGGTGGGCAGGACCTTTTAACCAGGCACTTCTTGACCCTTAATGAACAGCTGGCCATCCGTGGAGTTAGCAGCCTGAAGGTAAACAGCTATTTAAAAGAAGGTCCCTCTTTAACAGGCTGTGTTCAGAGGGGATGGCATGTCCTCAAGCTGCCTGAGGGTAAACACATCTGCCCATTTACCTGTAACCCAGTTGAGATTATGTCAGGGGGCAACAGTTCGTGGTGGGTTGTAGTCTGAAGATTTTAAGAGATGTAGTTGCTCACTGTCCTTTCATTTGCCTTTCACATAGGGGCTGTGGGAGTCTCGTCCCTCTTTGAACATCTGAACTGGTGGGCAGCTACATTCCCTGGGAAGAGGAGCCCACAAGGACAACCAGAAGCCAAACTGAAGGCAGGATTCAAATCTTCTTCACTCCATACATGTTGGTCCACATCGAGGGGATGTCATGGCAACAGCTCATCCTAATTCTGTTTGCTTTGGAAGGGAGTCTGGGGGTCTCCCAGGACCTCCTCGTTCATTTTGTGGACCCAAATCATCACTTACACAGAAGTCATCTTGCAGGTGAGTGTTAAAAGAGACTGCTGGTTGTATTGATGGCATCAGGTGGACCCTGTTTTTGTGTGGCCTCAGATATTCTGAGCTTTCAGGGGATAGGGCAGGACAAGTATCAGGACAAGATGGGCGAGAAGGAATAAGCTGGGCATTGATATTCATCCTACCAAATCGGTGGCAAATTGGCCATCCCAGTGTGTCATCCTAGATATGGACTGTAAAGAACTAAGGATCAGGGATTATAGATTTTGCTTGTTTTAGATATCTGCAACTTGGATTAGATTTTAGCCCACATGGCTGGGAAAAAAAAAAATTGAAACTATAATGTCAAATCTTCAGAAAATAAATAGTCAAAAGCTCTTTGCCAGTTTTTTTAAAAACGAGAAAGAAGCCAAAGGCGAATCTTTTGTGTCAGGGAAGGGAGAAACTGAGAGTGGAGCAGGGACTGACTGGGTGTTCCTGGGTGCTGGGGAGCAGCACTGCTGATGCCCCTGGGTGACCTCACAGTCTCCAGCAGGCAGGGAGCTCCACTCCTGGCTGCGTGTGCTGGTCCCACTGCACTACTCCTGGGCTCCTACCCTCCCAAAAAAGCAGAGAAAGAGCAACACACTATGAAAGGCACCTAGCACTAGCTGAGCTCGGAGCCACACCAATGTAGCTTTGCTCCTCCTGGACCTCAGATTAGTGCCAGCGCACATCTCTGTGCGCCCCACCACCCTCTTGGAGCCATTGTCTGGCCCCTGGGACCTCCTCAAACTGACTCACCACACCTTGCAAGAGCCCTAAAGTAAGAATTGCACAGTCAGGCCTGTTCTTAATTCCCCTTCCATGTTCACGGATCCATTTAGACACAGCCTTTTTATCACCAGATTCCCTCCCTGCTCTCCTCTGCTTTCTTACTCCCGAGAGCTTCTATCAGTGTTTCTTAGACACCCATTTTCTTTCTTTTTCTTTTCCCTGTACATCTGTAATGCTGTGGCTTTCATGTTGTCCTTCACCGTTGCTCAGCCCTCTTCATTCAAATCTTGACACTTTCTCCCCCTCTTCTGCCTGGGTTCTTCAACAAGACCTGGAAGGAATAATTACAACAGAAACCCCACATGCTCTGCTGCTTTTGCTGTACAAGAGTACAGCTTTGAACATGAGGACCCTTTCAACTTTGCCTATAACAAAGGCAGCACATTTCCCAAGTTAGAAATTATCACAGCTCTTGTACAGTCCTCCATCACTTGAGGTCCTGAGAGAAACCAGTGTGGTTGAGGGAGGGCCGTACATTCCTTAGTCTCTACTGTAGCTCTGCTACTAATGCTTGGTTGGGACTCACACCTTCTCTTAACATTTTTTGCTCTCTTCTGAGGACTTGCTGTGATTTTTTTCCCTTTCCCAGTTTGTGGCCCATCTATCCATCCTTTCTTTTCCCACTTAGGACATATCTTCAGACCGTACCTTCAGGAAACAGGCGTTTCCATCCCAGGGCTCTCCCACTGCTTCAGGCTTTGCTCCCACTGTGATGATGAACCTGCCTCATGTTCAGTCATGAGAGACATTCCTCAGTGCCCACAGTGAGCTTTTGGGTCAATAATAAGACAAGCCCAAGGCTGAGACCTCATCCCATGCATGAGCACAGGAAACTCAATCTGGACAATAAGAAAATTCATTTTTGCCATGAAGGTGGTTGTCCATGGGATCAGTCTGCCCAGAGAGGCTGTGGAGTCTGCATCCATGGAGATGTTCAAAGCCAGGCTGGACACAGTCCTGGGCAGCCTGCTGTAGCTGGCCCTGCCTGAGCTGCTCTTGGATGACACAGCCAACCTCAACACTTCTGTGATCCTGTGAACCTCTCTCCTTGGATTTTTTTGCAGTCTCTAAGTCTCTCTCCTTGCTCCTGCTCACTGCTTTCTCCCACTCCTGGCTTTTCTGTTTCATCTGGATCCTGCTGGAAGCTCTGCCTCTTTTTGTTCTCCTCCACTACTTACCTCCTGCCACTTTCTGGCCTCTTGGACATCAATTTGGCTTTGTTTGTGTTGCCTATTTTTTCCTGTGATCTTCCCAGCTCTGCTATACTTCAGAGCAAAGTATGGGGGATCTAAGCAAGACCAAGAAAACATATGCATTATCCCAAACGTAATTTATTATGTAGAAACGGTGCTCAATAGCTAACACATAACAGTCACACTTGGACTCCCGAAAGGCACTTGCTTTCAGAATCAGTGGCCAGTATATAACAGGATATATGAGATACCTGCCATTGTATGTATATGTGAAAGTCATCTTCAGAAAATAGCCAAAGCTCTGAAGCGGAGTTTCAGGGCAATGACTGGTGCTATCTTGCCCCATGTCTGAGCTCATCTCCTCCGTTCCTGGACATCAAGGGAGCACCATGGTGGTGCAAAGTCACCCTGGCCATGGGCGAGGGTGCCCTGCTGAGGGCTGGGGACAGGACGAGGGCACACGCGTTTCATCTACCCATCTCTACCATACGGAGCAGGGATATTTGTGCTGCTCAGTTTGTGCCTGGGACCTAAACCAAGTACCACTTAAGGATGCTAATAGAAGTGGATGAGTTTATTTAGCCAAGCTATTAGTATTTTGGGGTATTTCCATGCTACCTTATCACCTCAAAATGAGGCAGACTGCTTAAAATGCTCAATATTTAGAAAAGCTTGTTTCCTCTCTCCTGCCTTATGTTATTGGTGTGGAATATTCTCTTCTTAAGCACACTGCAATAATATTAGATAATTACTTAGCTCATTTTTCTATACGGGTTTTGACAATTCATAATTGTCTCAGAGCTGAGAAAATGTTTCCTTTAAGAAGGTTAAACAAAGAGTTTATTGACATTAGTGAAGATTGGTTAAAGAAAACATTATTAAATAAAAGGAGCTTTATTTAAACACTAAATTAATCATTTAAAGGCAAATTAGAGGTCATAACTCCTCCTAAATAAATAATGTTAAACAATAATTAGATATCCATTTTAGATTACAGGCAAGCACTTGGGTTCAGTGGGCTGAAAAACAAGTTTCTTCTCATCTCTTCAAATTTGTTCAATATACATAATTAAAGCGAATCACTGCCCCGCTTAAATTTTCCATTCTGAGATTAAAAAAAGATTCCATTTGTAACTGTGTGTCATATTCGCCATTAGATGATAAAACATCTTTAAAGCTTCACTTTCATATAAACAGAAGAAAAGATGAGAGCATCCAGAGAGATCCCCGGCAGTGGAAATCGATTCTCCTAAGCTACTGGTTACAGTTATCAATCTTATCAAACAGGCCGATGCATGAGTGCCCTTAGCCACTTTGATTTGTATGATCTCTCTTTGCCAGAGTTAACCTTTCCGACGTTATGGCCTGTGCAATATGCACTATCCGGGCTATAATTACACTCCCTTTCATTAGCGCTCTTAGTCATCTCTTAAGTGTGAGATAAAATTAAAGAAACTGTCCTCCTTTCTCATTTCATTACACGTTGTGTTTTTTTTGGTTTTTTTTTTTTTTTTAGGCTCTGAGTAGTTTCATTTGTGGTTTCCTATGAATATGAGCCCACCTTCTCCCTTATCATCCCCTTTCAAAGAGGGATTCAGGACAGGGAGTCACAAACGCAGCGTCTCGCATCTCGCTACCGCTGAGTTTGCATTAGGCCGCCTCAAAATGATGCTGGTTGTTGAGCGTTGACAGGAACCATACCACCGTCCTCCAGACCTTTCCGCGGGCTTTGCTGGCCCTGGTGCCAGCCGCTTTAATAAAAAGCACTGGGAATTTTTGTCCACTGTGATACAAGTGTTAAGGAGTTAGATTAATGAAATCTGACGTTAGCGCTGATAAATAATGACACCACCGAAAGCAACCTCGGTGGTGGATGGCAACATCAAAAAGCAGAGCAGATTTCACTCTCTATTAAGGGATTGTCCTGTAAGGAGGCAGAGACGGTGGCGAGGGGAAAGCTGGAGGGTCTGGTAATATTTTACTTGAATCTGCCATCAGCAAGCGAGGCTTTTTGCACTGGGTTGCTGCTCTGCTCCTGCGTTTGCTACGTTTGATTTTAGGCTGATACCAGCAATGGGGAGCACTGTCGAAATAATGCCATGTTGTAGACGTAGTGCTCGGCGTGAGCGCATGTTGCATGGCTCATTGTCATCCCTAATTGCACACTCGGTGTTAGCTTTGGCTACAGTTGTTTTCTATACTTTTGCCTGGCACGCAAGCTCCCGTTCATTCCTTTTTCATTACCAGGACTAAGGTGAACATAACTTTGCATTATGCTAGAATATGTATTTCATCTATTTTCTTGCTGCTTCTTTTCTTTTAAAATGAAAATGGCTGGTGCTAGGGATATTTTTAACCCTGCATATGCTATTTCATGTCTCACACAGATCTTCAGGGTCCACAACAGTGGTAGGGATTGCAGATTTCATTTAAATCTATGTTCTAGGAAGAAAAACCTCACAGGGAAAAGTTGTTTTGTACAACCCCGATATCTCTCATTAGCTAGCAAACACAAAGGAACGGAACAGGACTTTTCTGATTATTTTAGTGGTTTTTTTCCCCTTAACTACTGAATTTACACACAAAAAGAAAGGCACTTTGTATTTAAGGTTAATCAAGTTTCAGTACAATTTTTTACAAACTGGAATCACACTAATCTTTTTTTTCTTGCTCTAATGTGTGGCTGTTGAAATCCTTAGCTGTGATAAATTAAGCTACTTATTAATCTAATTATCGTACATTCATCCTAGAAACTTTCATGTGACTTGAAAAGGCTATTCAACCTTTTCCCTCCCCTCCTAGAAAGGGCTCAACCTTGCACCAATTAAGATCATTCTGAAGTAATGCTTTAAAAAAGCTTTCTTTAATCACCCAGTGGAACATGGGCTGAGGGTAAGCAAACTAAAAGCTGTGAGAAAAGTTTACCTTACCTTTAAGTCTGAGCATTTTGAGTTGGAAGAGGAAGGTATTCCTCTCTTCCTCCTCTTCTCTGCTCTCCTACATAAGTCCATGAAATTA